TTCCCTCCTCCCTCTCTCCATGCTTCCTTCCCTCCTCCCTCTCTCCATGCTTCCTCCCAAACTTCCCACCCTAGCTCTCCCTCTTCCTTGATTCCTTCCTTCCTTTCCTTCGTTGCTTCCTTGCTTCCTTCTATCTCTCCTTGCTTCCTCCCTCCTTCCATCTCTCCTTGCATCCTCCTTCCTCCCATCTCTCCTTCCTTCCTTGCTTCCTTCCTTCCTCGCTTCCTTCCTTCCTCCCTTCCTTGCTTCCTTCCTCCCTCCTTCTATCTCTCTTTGCTTCCTCCTTTCTTCATCTCTCCTTGCATCCTCCCTCCTTCCATCTCTCCTTCCTTCCTCCCTCCACCCGTCTCTCCTTCTCACCCTCGCTTCCTTCCTTCCTTCCTTCCTTTGTTGCTTCCTTGCTTCATTCCTCCCTACTTCTGTCTCTCCTTGCTTCCTCACACCCTCCTCCCATCTATCCTTGCTATCTTCCTTCGTTTTCTTTGTTGCTTCCTTGCTTCCTCCCTCCCTCCTTCCATCTCTCCTTGCTTCCTCCCTCCTTCCGTCTCTCCTTGCTTACTCCCTCCTTCCTCCCGTCTCTCCTTCCTTCCTTCCTTATCTTGCTTCCTTCCTCCCTCCTTCCATCTCTCCTTGCTTCCTCCCTCCTTCCATCTTTCCTTGCTTACTCCCTCCTTCCGTCTCTCCTTGCTTCCTTCATCCTTCCCACCCTCGCTCGCTCCCTTCCTTCCATCCTTCCTTCCTTGCTTCCTTCCCTACCTCCATCGGTTCCTACCCTCCCTTGCTCCCTCCCTCCTTCCTTCCTCCCTCCCTCCCTCCCTCCCTCCCACAGTGTGTCTAAAGTTTAGAAGAAGACTCCTCAGTCCTTCCAGCTTAATATCTTTTTGAAACTACTTCAACTCAGGTTCTAAACCTCCATGCTGCAGCAGAAGGTTTTCTCTGCATGGAGTTTGCATGTGGGGGCTCTTTCTGGGTACTCAGACTTCCTCTCACCTGGTTATCCTAACGTGGCTGTTAGGGTGTGTGGGGGTGTCTCTGATATGCTGAGGTAGCAGAGAAGCCTGTTTAGGCTCCGGCACCGTTATGATCCCGATGGATAAGTGGAAAAAATGAGACTGAAGAAGAACATCTGCCTCTGTAGTAGGTTTGCTGTCACCCTTCCAGCTGGCATACAGCAGGACAGAATGGTGGACTTCAGAGCATTAAAGGTCATGGAAAGCTGAAATCATTGAGTCAAACATGCATGTGTTGTTAGTTCCCCAAAATCTAAAAATCAAATGCAAGTAAATAAAAGGCTGAGAGGACTGTGTTTGCCTTCAGCGTTCTGGAGACGGAGAAGTCCCTGGTGCTGGCAGAGAAGGGCAGCGGAGATGACGACGACGTGGAGCTGATCAGAGCTGCTGCTGGCTTCCGTCTGGTTGCCACCATGAATCCTGGTGGAGACTTCGGCAAGAAGGAGGTATGGAACATGAGACTCAGGGGTTTAACTGTAATCTATTATCTATACTGCTTTAGAAAAACGCTCCCACTTTATATTTATAGAATGAGATAGAATGAAGCAGAATGATGAAATGGGGGTCCCT